GGATTTAAATTTTGAACTTTAGATTTTTTGTGCGATTATGTAGCCCACAACGTGTTGATTACTTTGATGATTTTGTTTAGGAAAAAAACAATGTGTCTAAAGATTTTTAACTGCTCTTATTTATTTTGTTTGTTTTTGAGCAGCAAAAACATCCTAGTGTCAAGGTAGCCTATTGTAGATCATTGTGAAGTTGTGGTTTTCCTGATGGAAGAGGTGTCGCAGTACAAAACAAAAAAAAAAGCTTGAGCTGTTTGTCTTGTAGCTTTTCTTGTTGCCACCACTTTGGGCTCCATATCTCAGTGACTCAGCTGCATTAAAGCTCTTGTTTGTTACGTCTCTCCAGGCAGAGCTGGAAGAGCTGGTGAAGAAGGAGCACGCCAAGATCGACAGTCAGGATGCAAAAGAAAAGGCCAGTGAAAACAAAGGAGCGACAGCCAAGGCGAGCTCTGCATCAGCGCCACCAGAACCCAAAGCTGAGGAGTAACCAATAAAAAGCTCCCTGATTAAATGAAGCTCCTGTGGTGATGTCACAGATTGAAGTGGCATCGGGGGGTTACCTGGAAGCGAGGCTGTGGTGGACTTTCTGACATCTGTTTATATCAGTCATTTGCATTTTTTTTTTCTTTTTAACTCAGTCTAAACTGTTTATCACTTTCTCTGTGGCTCGGCAGATTTTATGTTGCAACAGAACCTATTGTTCATTTATCTGTATTGCAGTAGCACATAGTGTGCCCATGTGCGTTGTGGTTAATGTCTCTAAAACAGGCGCCATTGCACTTCACAGCGGCTCAGACGAATATGCAAGCCAGCAATTGAACATGTGATATTTTGTTTAATCAAAAATGATCTTTTGTGTGAAGATAAGCGGGCTATTTTAGGTGCTGTGTTATTTCCCTCAAGCCAAAACCTGCTGTGCTGATAACTTTCCTACTAACAAAATTAACTTCCTGATAGGTGACTGCAGTTGGGCACATGGCTCTTCTAAAATGTCTCAATTTGTAATTTACCGTGTTTTTCATGTTCCTCTCATGTTTAATTTTTTTTAATGATGTTTTAAAAAAAAAAAAAAGCAATGTAAAAAATGCAAAAGAAAGTCTACACCTAAGTTAATTTGGGGCATGGGGGACATGAGAAGATCTGGTTTTATTGTAAACTTGTGTGATCATGAATTGATTTGTGGGTTTAAAAATACTCGGGTGGATGCAATAACATTAACATCTGTACAATGTCACAGGAACCAGTGCAGCCCCCTGCAATAAATTTTACCTTTTCAAAGCTGATCATTTTCACTTCTGTTAAGTCTTTCATAGAGGAGTTGGTTACACTGTGGTTATGTATGCTACATGGACAAAGTATAGGACCACATACACAACACACCTACAGGAGCTGCTCAGAAACCACTGCCATGACACTCCTGCTTATGTTAAAGCCAGGGGGGGGTCTGCAGATGTTGGGTCTTGGTGACTTTTACACACCATCACCTCACCTCGGCAACACCGCTTTGTATACTTCATACCTGAGTTGCTGTGATTCCTAAATCGTTACCGTGGCACTCTTGAATTAAGTGAGATCTTTAGAACGACTCTTTCTGTCGCAAATGTTTGAGGCTTAACTTTGTACGCCGGTACCAATGAGACTAAAAACACCTGAATCTAAATATTAAGATTACAAATTCAATCAATACTAATATTGTTTCTTTATTGTGTGTTCTGCTATAACAATGTATCACACCTCAGTGTAATGGATGTCCTAAACTTCATCCTGATGACAGCATCCTTCCAGGGCCTTGAGGTTTCTCTCTCTCCACTGCTGCCCTTGTCACACAGGAAAATATCGCTTTAGCCCTGCAGCCTCAGTCTACCCCATATGGTGTAGATTGTTTTTTGGAGCATCTACCTGCATAAATCTGCATAAGAATGAATGCTGTTTTCCCCAAAAAGGCTGTTACTTTTCAACATTTTCCAACTTCTCGCAGGCTCTGCAGGCATTTCATTATAGCAAATGAATGAACTTAGATTAATTAGAAGGAAACAGATTTTACAGGAGAGCTCAGAAACACTATATTTACACCAAATACACCACACAGAGTAACCTAGGTAACGTGGTAAGATACAGTCTGCCTCATGTGCCTAATTTTGTCATGCTTCAAAATATTAAAAAATCTTGTTGAGAAACTTTAAAAGAAGTGCACACATTATATAAACATGAAATATATCGTTAGCTTCATAGCATAAGTGCCTAAGTCATTTTTTTGTGATGACATAGGCAGACGGACAGGATGATGCAGCAGTGGTAGGGGAGTAAAGTTTGGCAAAAATCTCAATTTGACCAAAAAATGACTTAGGCACTTATGCTATGAAGCTAACGATATGGTCTTGCCCTGTTTCTGTCACTACTACAGTGATGGGTGTTTTCTAACAGTTTTTTCCTGGCTCTGTATGATGTCAGAGAAAGGAGCTTATTAGGGTCACATCAGGCACACAGCGTTGGCTGTGAACATCGAAGGTCCACCTTCATATTGCTTAATCCTCCTGTTTACACGAAGAAGTCAATGACAAGAAAGGTGGGTTTAAAGGAAGAGGAGGAGCCAAAGCAGATCATAGACCAGGGATGTCAAACTCATTTTACAGTATAGGCCACATTCAGTCTCGGTGTAAAGAAGTGTAATGGCATATTTAATCCCTGGAATATCTTAATATATAATTGCCCAGACTGTCCTGTAATAATAAAACAAATTTCTATAGTAGTTAACTACATTGGTGTAGTGTGAATGGTCCTGGGGGACCTCTTCACTAAGAGGCAAAGATGTAAAACCTATGAAAAGTGTAAGTCTTATGTTTCAGCTTAGGGTGTAATATCTGACACCCCTGCCATAGACAGTACACAAGGTGACTGTAGCTACCATGTTATGATCATAGATAATTCTACATTTTTAAATAATGTATGACAAAGACAACAAAACAAGCGACTGAGCCCATAAACTCCCCAATAAAGTGTTCACAGAGGTCAAGTCAGAACGCTGTTTTACCACACACCTCTACAGGACTGAAAGTCTGTTTGCAACCACAGCTGTTGCTATCGAGTGGCCTTCAGATGGGACGCAGGTTTAAGTCACTTCCACACCTTCATGTTTTTGAGCCGGAAGCTACCTCTATGCTTCATAATGCTGTATAAATATACTTAACACATTTAACTCAAGCCTGAAAAATTGTCTCTTAATGCCCCCGCATTTTTGTCAAGTGTATGTTGTTGTCATGTACTGTCATACAGGTAAATCGCAAAGGCACGTAAATATGCAATATAATGAAAGTTAATTTACTATATGGGTGCATATTAAAGTGAAAGAAATCATTCATACCAATTTGTCATTAAGTATATGAATTTGCCCAAAGCATGACCAGGTTAAATAATACTTAAACATTTGCATACGGTTGTAAGATTAATAAAGATTCATGGAAACCTTTTTTAGAGTCTGAGAATATAATATGGAACTGGAGATTATCATTATAGGTCTATTTTTAAGGTGGCCTCATGTCTGTGCACATTAAATTACCCCAATGTATTGCAAGATATAGTTTGTTATGATGTAAACTGAATGAAATTCTGCTACCGTGCTTTCAAGGCTTTACTTTGCACACTGGTATTTTCAGGTGAATACTAACACAAGCTAACGTGTGCAGTTTATTTTTAGCCTTGTAGATGTGTTAACATGCAAGCATTCAATAAGAACAAAATACTTTTGCATGACCCATTTCAGACCCGATGACAGCAGTAGATAAACATCAAGGATCTCCCAAAGTCGCTTTTATTTATGATTGCATGCATTGATCTGAAAGTATCAGAATGTGCATAATCTCTGGTTCTGTAGTTTTTTACAAACTAAGCAACATCGACAATGGGGAGGAAGTTTTAACCTGGTTTTAAACTGATGGTTACAGTGTCATGGTGTTGGCAGGATATGATTTAAGCTGCAGGTGTGACAATGCTGCTTCTAAAACTAAAACTAGAAGTCTGCTTGCCACGGAAATGGTGACCAAACAGCAACACCTCAGTCTGTGGTTTCTTCGTAAGGCTGAGATGAGGTACCATGACAGAAAATAGCCTCAGACATGTTCAGCCCAGTCTTTACTTCCAATACTTCTATTTTTCTAAATAAAGTTGCAAGAAAAAGTGCAACTGATTTTGAATTACCAGTATTTATACACTGGTTATTTAAAATGCAATTAGCCGTAAGGTGCAAATATGGACAAAGTGACTAAATTAATCCATTCAGATCTTGAACATGTTATATAATCACTGACGTAACAGGCTGGCAAAAGCGAGTAAACTACACTAGGTTTGCTTACTTGCACCTCCTTTAGCGGCAAAACCTCCATCGGATGTGTCTTGTAGATGCTTATGTGACCCACAAAGAGGTGAAGAGGAAATATTAACCACAAATGTATACTCAATCATTCAGGTAAGGAAATCCCAAAAGATTCTGTTGATCTGGACGTACCAAATGAACAAAATCAACGTTTTGGAATTTAATTTAATTGATAATGGTTTATAAAATACTGTGGGGTTAGTGTGTGTGGCGAGTGAACTATTTTCAGTGTCTAAAGTAGGGCACGCCAGACAAACTTTGAGAACCGCTGGGCTGAGGTCAGGTCTGTGCTGGAAATGCCAAAACACTTCTTTTTTTTTTATCAGCCATACTGTGGTTGGTCCACTTTTCATGCTTTGGGTTATTGTCACCAAAACTCTCCACAGCTTCATACTTTGTTCACATTCTTCTGAAGAATTCTTAATGCAATTAAAATTCATTGTTGCCTCGATGAATGCACGATTTCCATCAACCTGGGGCAACAAAGCAGCCACAAACCATGATGCTCCCTCCACCGTGCTTCACAGCTAGAGTGAGGTTTTCATGTTGCTGTGCTATCTTCCTCTGAACACAGCGTTCCTTATCGCTTGTCTACCCACAGAACAGCGTCCCGTAGCTGCGGTGGAACATTCAGACACGTCGGTAATTTTTGTACAGCATTTTATCCTTCACCTGATATTTGCAGGTGTATTGCTTTTACCATTGGATTGTTTTAGGGTAGCTTGTTACGCTCTTGTTGTGATCACTGTGAAGAACTAGTGGAGAGGAGCTCTGCCAGAGAGGAAATACAGAGTTAACAGCAGTTCAGAAGAGGCATAGTATTGACAGAGAATTTCTAAAATGTAAATGTAGCTACAACACTTGTACTGTACATGAATGGAGTCATGGAGGGCGTCTGTGGGTGGCAGGTGGCAAGCCAAAAGCTAGCAACAGGCAGAGGGTGGGCAGGCTGGTGATCAGGTGAGTCCTCCTTCTTCTTGACACGTTACAGAGAGTGGGTGATGAGCTGGAGGTTTCCACAGGCAGCTGACAAGTGTGTTTCCAAGGAGGCAAGATTTCCAAGAGAGCTGGGAGCAGGGAGAGAGACAGGATTACTACAGACAGATGATCATAAACAACAATAATAGTTACAAAAGTGACCTAAAGTTCACCATATTGGCAATGACGACCTGGCAAAGAATTGGCGCAGATATAATAATGATTAATAATCTTAAACAGGTAGGAAGGAGGAAACCAGGTGAAACTTCATCCAGGGGTGGATCCAGAGGGATCAGCCAGCCCAGGAACTCCAAGAAAATCAGGCTTTAAAGGCCGCACTCTGACAAGAAGTAGAGTAGCTTTAAATTCATTTGTGTACATTTTTCTTATTGTATATTTCTTATAATCTGGTCTTTAAAAAAACAAAAAAAAACAAAACGTTTATATCACTAATCGATCTTTCAGACTTTTTCAATAATTTCACTGTGCATGCTTTTATTTATTTATCCATTTACTCATCCCACACTCAGCATTTCTCACCAGTTGTTGGGACTGAATCTCAATGACTTTGTCCATCCTCCGCTGTGAGCGAGTTCTCACACATGAAAAGTAAAACCATCCGTGTGATCTTACTTTAATCAGATGATGTTTGTTTATAATTGTCACAGAGATGAAGACATGGTGAAGCATTCTCAGACCATTGGCTGTTCTTTGCTTTGATGGTTTTACAGTTCAGAATCAGATCAGAAGAAAGGTGCTGCAGAGAGAGTAAGAAAATAGGCACATAGCTCTTTAGAGAACATGCAGTGTTTTCTCTCTCTCCACGCTGTAGTCAGAGCTGGGTTAACCACAGGCAGACTTGGAGGGGGGAGGGAAGGGTGAAGAAGGTGTCGTGAACATTCACATGAAAATTGAAACTACATTAAATGCCAGCGTGAGCAGGAGGCAGAAGCAGGCGAGCATGAGCGCCGTACATCAAATACCTGAATTTGAGAAACTTAAGAAAATTTTGCCGCGAAACCTTTTGACGACGTGTTAGTGAGAAAGATGACAGCTTCCTATTTCAGCTATTCTGAACTCTTAAGCAACACTTTGCACTGCGCAGAAAGGAAGAGTTCAAGAGTGGGAAGATTGCAATATGTGTAGAAACTGCTAACAGTGTAAAGGAGGGAAGATACGTCAACTAACCGAGCCAGCCTGACACATGTGAGTATCAGCTATTTCTATACCACTAATGTGCTTGTGTTTAATTCTCTGTCTAACATTGTCTTGAGTTTGATGTCTAGTTATTAAAAATGATTGTCCCAGAAGCCAAATCTTAGAGGAAACTTTCTTAGTTTTGTATACTTTTTTTTGCTGAATTATGCACTGATTATCCCAGATTGTCTTTTTTACTGAATGGACCTTCTGTATTATCTACAGCTGATGTCCATAGATGTAGACAAAAATATGTCAATGTGTTTGTGTCCAGGGCTGTTCACAGTTCAGTTAATGGGACAACAGCCATCCCATGGAGGAGCAGCAGGAGGAAACTGTCACTGCTGGATCAGCTGAAAGGCTGCCAGGAGGCCTGGTGCCCCGGGGGAGCCTGGGACAGAGAGGGGGCTCACGCTGCTATCTGTGGGACACCTGCTGGGGTAGGAGCAGACATCACTGAATGACTCTCGCTGTTATTATGTGACATCAAGCGTCCAGTGTGTGTCAAATGAAGTCCAGATGATTGATCAAATCATTCAAGGATCTCCCTGTAAAGCTTCCCACTAACACTAAATAATGACTCTGTTTCCTCACACGTCCTTGATCTTAGTCATTGCCTGCTACTCAGTTTTTTTTCTTTCCCCTTGTCCTATTTGGCAGTGTGGCGATCAGAATCGTTGTCCGACGGCCAAAAAACGCCCAACAGATTCACTTTCCCAATTGGACCATTACGGCATTTGCTATAACAGCCCACTTGATAGTCATATTTTATCAGGATTTGACCAGTTTAATCAACTGCTACTCAGTCGATTCAATTTTGACAACTCTTATGCAATAAAACAACTTTACATTTAATGACTTACTTACTTTGCATTTACTTTTAGACTATTTTTTAAAAAAGAAATCTTAGTTCTTTATTTTTTTCTCAGTTTCCCGCCAGTGTCTCCCACTTCCCAGTGTGTCCTCTCTTCTGCTTCCTCTCCCAGTTTCGCTGCTTTTTGCGTTCCCAAGCTCGAAGTCGCGGGTATCATTTAAATTTTCTCTAGCAACCAAGTGTTTTTTGTGGGTCTGAATGTTGACATGCACTCGTCACTTAAATGTAGTTCCTTCTTTTTTTTCTATTTGAGGTCTGATAACACAACGAACTGTTTTAAATGCAGAAGTAGTGCTGAATAAAAGCGAGTTCATGTCAGGGAAATGACATTTCATGGTGGGTTTGGCTGCTGCACTCGCAGGGAATGTAAGTAACAAAGTAACAACGTATGATGCTTTATGTATTCATTGTTCTCGGTTATTATAAAGCGTGACATGGAGACAATTACACTGAAATGCAAAACTCTGACTGGCAGCAACAAGTCGTTGAACCGTGACAAATGTGTTATGGAGGAGGAGTGTGCTTTTTTTGTTTTGTATTAAGTGTTAAGAGACAAGTTTACTGGCATAATGTGATAAGCAGAATGCTGTGGAGGTTGTAGTCGACTTTTGTTCAATCAGATGTTGGAAGGGAGGGTTGATTGACTCATTTCTTCTTGTTTTTATGAATGGCAAACAGTAAGATGGCTGTTATGAATCAGTGGAAGATATATTTTTCCTAATTGCCGCCGTTTTTTCTGTCTTTCGGTGTGTTTCTGTGCTCAGAGTTTGGTGACTTCAAGTAAGCTTGTCAGTCTTTATTTTTGTACACACAGAGCCTGAAAACCACTTCCTCTGTACATGTTTGTATATGTGCGCTGGTCTAAAGAGCACCTTTGAATTTGGCTGTGGTGATGTAACTACTTGACAGAGCCGTTGCCTGGGATTACATGCGTTTTGCTTTACTCAAGTTAATTGTGTCTCAACTGGCCGTTTTATTGTCTTTGCTTCCAAAAAAGGCGTCATGATCGATGCAAGTCTCTGTGCAGACAAAGCAAAGCTCTGTGTATAAAAGGAGACATGAAGAAGTGAAAGGGCCTCTTGAGATATTCACACCAGAAACAGAAACACTTCACATTTTTTTCTAAAGTGGACAAATACCAGGAACAAGATTAGTCTTTTACCATCACTGACGAGGCTAGAGTCAGCAGTACAACGTTTTAGCCTCACACTGACTGTAACTGATCCTGTTTCTTGTACATTTTTATGCCATCTAAGTTAAAATACATGAATCACGTTAGCCCGCTCGAGTTACAGCAGTGCCTGATTCAATGAGGCCTTTACAAAAGCTAGTCACAAGGCACGTTTAAAGACGGAATGAGTTTGATATGATCTGAGAGTAAGAACCTAAAAATAAATGCCCTAACTGCAAGACCCTATTCACAGTAATGCGAAAAAGAAAGTGCAGCCACTTTCACTTCTAAGGTTTTGCATGTCAGCACATATAAAGATCATCTGCTCTTTAGAAGGTCTTCAAATTATTCAAATGCAACCTCACATGAACGACAACAAATGTCATACTGTCATTGTTTATCAGCTCTATAACATCAAGTAGAAAGTACATCCTATGATTCATTAGCTTGTAAACCCACCTTTACCAGAAGTATTTCTTCAAACTAATAAAGTCACACAGAGAGTGGGCAGTTTGACTGGGCCATTCCGATGCCTTCATTTTCTTCTTTTTCAGCCATTCTGTCATAGATTCACTGCTGTGTTTGGGATCATTGTCCTGTTGCATTCTGGGTCAAGCTTTAGACAGATGGCCTCACATTTGACTCTAAAATACTTGGAGTTCAGTAATGCAAAGTATCCAGTTCTCAAGCCCGAATCATCACCCTTCCTCCAGCGTGCCTGACAGCTGGTATGAGGTTTCTGTACTAAAAAAGCTGTGTTTGGTTTTTGCCAAACGTGGCGATGTGCATTACGGCCAATCACCTTCACTTTGGTCTCATCTGTCCAGAGAACATTGTTCCAGAAGTCTTGTGGTTTGTTCACATCCAACTTTGCAAAATTAAGCTCTGGTTTCTCCTGGCAACTGTTCCATACAAGCCATTCAGTCCTTTTATAATCGTACTGTATCATTTAGTGCTAACTGAGGTGTCGGTATTAGATGTAGCTCTTGGGTTTTCTGCAGTTTCTCTGAGCATTGCACGGTCTTCAGGTGAATTTAATAGGATGCCACACCGGAGAAGACTGTCATAAATGATCTCTACTTGTTAATAATCCCTATTACTGTATAATAACCCTGTACTTCTACAGTAATAAATTACCCTGAACTTACAGTCTATTTCTGCACGACATATTTCTTTGCTGCAGGTATCCCTGAGTGCTAGTTTAAGGAGTCAGCACATGGTTGAAAGCTGGGCAGGAAACTACACACATAAAACTCTTTTAGTTATCGTTATGATTATGGTTGTTCGGAAGATGGTGGCATTTTGTGTTAGCATTTGTGTTTATTTACTTTAGTCCACTCTTGTACTGGTTTATAGTTTTTCCACCATGAGTTAAGACAGTTTAGTCGACTCTGATGGCTAAAACAGAAGCTAGAAAAGAAACAACATCTTTGGGGTCGTGGTGTGTGCTGCTGTATCACACATGTGGTGTGAACTGTGAGTGAATAAAATGCACAGTAGAGAGCTCTCTCTTCTTGTCAGACTCAAGGGCTGCATGAAATATGAACGAGTCCTGCCACCGGCCTGTGGGCCACTCTTTGAAACCCTCGGTTTTCAAGGTTTTCTTGTATAGGATTTGATTGGTTTTAATGAAGATGGATTTGCGCACTAACAGTGTTGTGGGGCTCAGTTTCAGGTTTTAGTTTTGATGCATGCGCAAAATAAAACATGAAGAATAGAACATGGTTAAAGAAAATCATGTGATGTGAGCGGTCCTAAGCCACACTGGTTCGTCACTCAGAGTTAACCATCATCTACAGATTCATATCAGCATCTCTGAGTGGGCAAACAAACACTTATCAGCACTTAATGCATGAGCCCTTGGACATTTGCAGTGTGCATGACGCTCTGACACGTCGAGATCAAATCAATTGACTCTTGTCACAGAAATTCTGACACATTTCTTTGTAAACCACACGCTAAAATAGTTTTTTTTCTCTCTGTCTGTGTCCATCCATCACTCAGTTGTTCTCTTACTGCTGCCTGCTTACCATCTGGCCACGCCTTGTAGCCTGCCAGCGTGAACATTTAACCCTCTCGAGGCAGGCGTTGCCGATTTGCAACAGTTAAAAACTACCAACCTGATTACCCCACATACATATTTTATGAGTTTTTTTTACTCAGAAGTACCACTGCAGGACTTGGTTGTGCATTAGCAACAAAAAGTTTAATTTGAGCCTGAGAGGGTTAAAAGTAAACGTTCTCCTGCTTAACAGGTTTCTGTGACAGTTGAAATCTTTAAATGAGTCACACGTGTGTTTCCCTGCAGAGTTTCCTGGTTGTGCGGGACTCTGTGACGTCTCAGCCAAGCCTGCTGTGTGTGTCTGCCGGAGGAAGGAATGAGGAAGTCTTTGATTATAATATCAAATGCACAGGAGCAGGTAGGATCCCGCCACATGCAAACATCTGTGCGTGTGTGTGTGTGTGTGTGTGTGTGTGTGTGTGCGCTCGGGCGTGCATGTATGTGCTTGTGCTTGTGTGTGTGTCTGTGTGACCAAGCTACCAATTTCCCTGCGTCATTTTTAGTGGTTATTTTATGAGTCAGTACTTCTGTCAAACATGTCAAACTGAACCGATAAATAGAAAATAACCTAGTAACGTCATGGTTGCACTTTCTCTTCTCAGGTTTGTGTACCTGCAGACATGGCAGTTATTGTAGATTGATGCAGATTAAAACATAAAACTCTGGTCCTATTTTATTTATTTACCAAACTTTTCCACTTACTGATCTACATGATGTATCTAAAAGATAAAAAAAAATCAAACACTAAAGGGTCATCTGACTCCTCTAGCCTGCAACACCCTCGTCAGGCTTTATAAACCACACACTGCCAGGAAATAATCAAGCTGTAAAGCTACTGTGGAAATATGTGAAACCCTAACGCTGGCTTATCTTAAGTTCCCTTTTAGTTTTTTTCTGGTATAAACTTTGGTGCATTTCCAGGAAAGTATTTTTCACCAGAGCATTTCAGAATGAGACTAAAGCTGCCCACTCTTTCTGTTTCTCTCTGACAGTTTTCCAACTGTCTGAGTCTCATCTGTCTTTCTCTGACTTGACTCAGCTGGTGCTCTTCTACTCTCTGACCAGGTAAGAATCTCCTGTCTCAGCTACATAAAAAACTCTCCATGCTTGGTTATTGGTGGAACTGTGGACGTTGTGAAAGACTGTTCGAACCTGTGTTTAACCAAATCCTGTCTGTTTATCTCTTGGATCTCTCTCCCTCTGTGTTTCAGGGATGTGCTGGATGTTTGTCTCCACATTCCTCGCTGGATCTACAGCATAACAGACACAAAAAAAGAGCGTCTTTCACAGCTTGAACCTAGTGCGTCCGGGCCTTCCTGAGCTTTTGCCTTTCATAATCTTCAACAAAACAATACAAAACTGTGTTGAGGAGCCTTGTCAGCTAATTTCACTGATATCTCTGTTGCAGAAACTTGGCTTTCCACACCGCCTGATCAACAGACTGATCAAATGTCCCAAAGGGAACCAAGCAGCATGATGTGCTCCATACAGGTATGTTGCTTATCTACGTGTGTGTAGATTTTTGTGAGGGAGGGGGAGGGACTTAAGGGGAAATGGTGTCTTTACTTCCTTCAGTGGGTAAATCAATAGCCTGGTAATTGTCTCAGAAACAGAACATTCATCATGCAACCAGAAGCACCACTCCAAAATAATGTTCAGGTGCCCACAAGAATATTTAAATTAAGAATAATTTAACTTTCTAAAGTGGTTATATGTGTCTATTATGTAACCAATGTTGCGTTCTATCCTGTTAACACTGTATGTATGTGTTTTTTTTCACTAGCTGACGTCCACAAACGGGGCCCTGTGTATCATCAATCCCCTCTACCTCCGTGAACACGGAGACGAGTGGCTGACCCACAGGCCAGCTGCCGCACAGCCGTCAAATTTCAGACGCCTCAGCACCACCCGGCAATGGGCAGGCGCAGGGTTACAAAGTAAACGAGCCATCTCTTTGGAGCAAGAAACCCCTGCTCCCAATACAGAGAGCTCAGGTCAGTGCACCAACTTCAGATTTCACCCAATATAAAAAAAGCTTCCTCAGTTCTGAACAGCAATGTTAGACAGTGTAGTTTCATTTCCCCTCACAGTTTTGGAAAACAATGCTTCTATCTATCCAGATCAGGAGATGCTTTGAACTTAAAGTTCCTCTCCTTGCACTGTTTAAACCCCTAAAAACCTTTTCTTCCCTTTATAAAAAATAAGCCTACCAATAAACTCGTAACTGTGTTTTCCATACATTTTGTACATGCAGTCCTGGTCAGTTCTGCTGAAGTGTGTGAGAGGCAAAAACACAGTTAGGAGTTTCTAAATCAGGAAGTCCTGGGCCACAGAGAGTATGCTGTTCCTGCAGGTCAGGGGGAGAAAAAAATCCATTGTGTCTGGTGCAAACAGGAAGTGGCTTTGTGCAAGCTTTTAAAACTAAATGGAAATATCACCACAAAAAGCATTCATGTGGGTTAGCACTTATTAAAATACTTTAATCATCGTCAGCTGTTCTGTCGTCTTGCTCCACACTTGCACATGGCTTGACCACACTGTTAATCGCTAGCTCTGACAAGTTAGCCCTGCGTAGCAAGTGGACAAAACTAATTCCTATGGTTGTTTTTGAGACTGTCAGAGGTACATCATATTTCAGAAATAGTTAAAATGCCAGTCCTGTCTTTCTGTTTATGTCACTTGTGATATCAGTAAGTGGGATCAGTTAAATTCATTGCAAAAAACTGTGATGTTATTCAGGTTTAATCAGAGCCTGTTCCGCTGATTCTGCACCAACTGAGCAAACACCAGCAGGGGTGGTCCTCCGGCGGCCCAGTCGGGATTTAGTAATCGCCCAGCCTCAGAGGGTGAGCACGGGGAGCCTACCTTCATCCACTTCCTCCACCCCCAGAAATGGAACACCTGAGTTGCAGCGCCACAGCAGCCCCGTGCCTCAGTCTCCTCACAGGGTGTCCTGGATTGAGGATGGCGTCTGGCTGCCTCCACCCAGGCCTTCTTCCTTGCTCCAGCCTCCATCACTCGAGCTTGACTCGCTTTCAATCAGCAGCATAGAGGAAGAGATGGAGCCCCAGATGCTAAGCTCGTCACATCACCACGCTTCAGCACACCGTTTGGCTGATAAGGTCCTACATCGCCTTTCTGCCGTGGGCCAGGCGCTGGGTGGGCTGGTAAGCCAGAGAAAAAGACTATCCAATCGTGTGCAAGAGCTGAGTGAGAAGAAAGGTGCTGCATTCGCAGAGGCTGTGAAGGGATTTGTGGAGATGACATCGAAGCGAGGGACTGATTCTAGCGGTGTCACAGGGTCGGAGTTCTTACAGGAAGTGAGATTATCACTCACATCACTGAGGGAGACACTGCTGGAATATGCAGAAATCCAGATGTTACTGGAAAGCATAACTGACTTAAACGACTCAGAGATTGGTGAGTGGGCTGTGACATAACACAGAAATGATTTTAGGTTTTTGTTGTCAGCATAAATGACAGAATATATATTTTGCATTCTTAAAACCTTGTGGTTGAACGCTTAGTGCTCCAATAATTATCCCTCTGCTATCTTTTGATCCTGGTGTAGACACCCTGGTGGAGCTCTCCATCCACAAAGTGGCTCTGAAGCCTGTCTCCAGCCACCTCTACTCCTGCATAGAAACCTCCCGAACCAATGATGGCACCTTCGAGCGTCTCCAGAGCAACCTGCGCTTGCTGGAAAAGAACGAGGTGACTGAACTAGGAGGTTCAGCAGGAGTTGGAGTTCCTGACTCCGTCACGCTTGATCGTATCCAGCAAAAATGGAATAATATGCACGATGTCTACTCTCCAAACAAGAAAGTGGAGATCATGCTCAAAGTCTGCAAGAGCATCTATCACAGCATGAGTGCCAATGCTAGCTCAGGTAGCCTGGCAGTGTTTCGTAAATACCACTCTTCTACTTTGAGTCGTTTGGTTGTTATATCCACTTAAAGTCATGTTCTCCTCACAGCAGGTAAAGTGTATGGAGCAGATGATTTCCTGCCCTGCCTGACGTGGGTGCTGCTCCGTAGCAACCTGGTCACCTTGCAGGTAGACACAGATTACATGATGGAACTGCTGGATCCCACACAGCTACAAGGAGAGGGTAAGCCAGTTATAATTCAAGGACAATGTAGAGGAAGTGTGATGCTCCATTTGAGTAAATCATGTTTGAAACTAAATAGAAGTTTTTCTGACTTTACTCAGAAACTTAGTAAGTGACTTGCTAACACACTCTGACAGTAATGCCTATGTTTGCCTGGTCAACAACTATCTGGAAATCATCAGTTGTGAGAGGAAAGTGTGTATTCCCCGACTGGTTGTGAGTGGATGCTGGAAGTTGCTAGGATGAATTGGTCAAAGGGATTGCTTTGGTGGTTAGCAGATTGCTGCAGTCACCAGTAGTTTACATGTGTGTTTACTCCTCGATAAATGTAAATAAACTGTGCAAAGTAAGAAACTGGGCTAAAATGTGTTTACTCAGGGAGTGAACAGCAAATGTTTGCACACAGGTCCGCATTTTTCATGGAACTCTAACAATCTGCTAGTAATGGCTTTGCACATTTTTCCCTAATGATGGCTGCTCACTGGTCTCCAGGCCTACGTGACTAAGGGCTTATTCTTTTAAGTGAAGCCTTTTTTATAGTCCTGCAAATGTGTTCATCTGCATACCGGTTTCAATTTTGATGGAGGAGTGGCTCTCGTGTAGTCCTCCAAGATCCTGACTGCACATGATTGGATGTACATGAACTTAAAAAGTATGGCCTTTTAAATTCTGAAGATGACTATAGACTATAGAGGGTCTTACCCTTATAATTTTATTCTTGCACTACTAATATGGCATTGCATACTTAAAATAATCCTTACGTTTTCTTAATTTTGTCCTTGGTGCAGCCCTTTAGTTTTTCAGCTGTCTGAAAAAAACAGTTTTAGCTCCCCTTTGTTTAAGTGATCTTTCTTTTGATTGGCTGCCCCTCGCACACAGGAAACAGCAAGTGGATGGTGTTTCTGTTCTCACAGCCTCAGAGCTGTATGCCTGGGATGTCACACAGCGCAAAGAACAAACAAATATGAGCATTTAGTGTACTCCCAAGGGCTAAGCTTTGGGTTTAATCAGTCCCCCCTACATGTGTGGAACTTTATGATGACACTTTGTAGTTGTAGTTTTGTAGTTTCCCCCCTGCTTATAGGTTGTCTCACTCAATGTCACCTTTTTCTATATCCCCATATCAACAGGTGGCTACTACCTTACAACTCTATATGCCTCTCTCTACTACATCAGCAGTTTCCGCCCACGACTGGCTGCCCGTCAGCTCAGTGTGGAAGCCCAACAGTCTCTCAATCAGTGGCATCGCAGACGCACACTGCACTGTAACCAGTCGCGTCGCAGCAAGCACAGACGGACTATTCGGAGGCAGGTTTGTCGGGACGGGAGTAAAGATGAAAGCAAAAATGAAAATGCATCTGTTAGTATGGAGGGGTCACAAGAACAGAAAGAACGCAACACAGAGGCTCTGCAGACACTGAGCGAGGAGACAGGGAGGGAACAAGGAGCCAATGACCAATCACAGCCTACTAGTCCAACTTCAGACTCTCAACCTGTGACACAGGAAGAGGAAACAGCAAGCAAACAGGAAGATAGCCAGACTTCTGGTGAAGGAAAAGAGGAGGACCACAGAGCATTATAATGAGATGCACGTCGTCAGGAGAAGGTCAAAGACCCTCAAAATGTTCTTACTGGTCAAAGCTATTTCACACCTGTTGAAATTCTTGCAAAGAGGTAAATTAACCTTTTAGCATGTGTCACTAATACCATGGTGTCAGTTAAGGTGAACGTGTGCCTGACTCAGCCTGAGGATTGGGGCTCCTCTTGGGTCTCATTATAAAGCTGGAGGGTCACAAGTTGAGAGGATGAATGAGATACTAAAGTGACATTTCTTAAATTTGAGCTGTTTTCTTCTAAAGTGTAACAAGGGGTGTCACACATGGATACCGCTCTCTTGTCACACTCAAAAAAGATTCAAAGCACTGGTCTAAATGACAACAAGTTCAATGTCATAAGTGAGCTGTAAAGACAACACTTGTTACTAGAGACTTGCTTAATGGGAGCTTATTTGGCCACCATCATCAGTGTAAATGTGTGACATAGATCTAGTAATTGATCACATTGATCAATTAACAGTATATATTAAACATAAGCGATGTATCTGATACAGTTGCTTTATCACATTTCCTAAACCCCCCTGACCAGGAAGCGGTTGCATTTTGTAAGCTGTGCCCTGGGTTGGAATCCTTCATGCTGATTAATTTAAACTTGTATCATTCGACATTTTTAAATGTGGTCATATTAAAGCAGTAGCCTGCCAAAAGAGTGAAGTCATTAAGGTCTAAAAAAGTCTGCTTAGGTTGTACAGTTTATTCTGCTCTTTTTAGCACCGCCTACAACAGACGGCTATTTTCAGGTAAATGCAGTCCCACTTTGTGTTGCTCATAGAGTTTATTATTATTATTATTATTATTATTATTATTATTATTATTATTATTATTATTATTATTGCAGAAGCTTGCTCCAGGATGAAATGCTAAAATCTACTTGGACTTGTTGCTAACTTTATTAATTTTGTTAATAGCGTTAAATGGTGTTAACAGTAACATTTTGACAATGCTATGGGCATGTCTTTTCCTTTCGTCCTAAAGTGGCAATAAATTAAACTAATCAATAAATAAAACTGAATCATTAGATTTTCTCAATTCTGTCTCAGGCTCTTTTCTAACAGCATTTTGCTGCAAAGGCATGTGCTATGTTGTTTCTGGTCTCCACAGTAATGCACAAACACTTTAAATCCACAGACTCCCCACAAAAAGCAATTACAGTAGCACCATTATCATTATCACACTACAGTAAAGTTTATCCGCAGTTTGGGCCACTAGAGGGCAGCATTCAACCTTCTCTGTTATGAACAGCTTTTAGCCCCTTGATTGGTGGGTGGCTTTGGAGCTTTCTTGAAGAGGAAGCTGAAAATAAAATAAGTTACATAAGTTAAAATCACTGTGCTACCACTACTAGTACTAGTGATAGTGTGCCTCTTTTGGCACAGTATAATCTTTAGCAGAAGCAGAAGCTATAGCACCAAACAGGTAAGTAAGGAATAAATCATTGGTCATGAGACAAAGCTGAAAATGACAACTGAAATTACAAGACTGAAAGGAAGGAGTCAAAACCAAATTTGCATATATGTAAGGGAGATGGCATGTCTGTAAAAGTTGCAGTTGAAGTGATAATGAAAAGATACTTGCAAGTCACATTCGAAGAGGTTCTTGAAAGGAGACTTGAAAGGAGGTACGTTAGGCTAGTCATTGACATTAAATGTGTAAGTCAAGTTAAAGCACCTGTAAAAACAGAGTGACAGGTGACGGTTCAGCACTGGGCATGGGGGGTTGGGGGTAAGCTGTCAGCTAATGCTAACTTGGTTTGTAAGGTGCATCCATACACAGGATTAATGCATTACACAGAAACTGCTCGTGAGTGCTAAGACGTATACACATAAGATACTAGAACCAAATTTACCAAATTTGCGTCACTGCTGTTAAAGTCAGTTCATTTGTTAAACTGTTGCACTGAAAAGTGCAAAGACTTTATTGACTTAAATAAGTTGAGGTGAACCCAGTCAGGAAGTGGCCACAGGCCTAATATCGCACAATTTAAAGTAAGTAAGTAAGTAAATTAGAGCCTCTACAGTCTACTTCTAAAATGCAGCTTCTGAAACCCATACAGCTGAAAACACATTAAATCTGCTGTATAAAGTTTGGCATTTCACATGGCAGTTTGTGGTTCACTTTTGGAGCCACCCTCAAGCAGCTATTTTTTAGTCTTCGGGGTTGTCAATTGGTTAAGACTTTAAGAAGTGGCTATTAATAAACTAAAAATTAAATCTGAAGCATCTCACTTAAAGTAGACTTAGTGGAAAAATAGCACAGTTAAAAATTAAAATAAACGGAGTCATCGGCTCAGGAGGCCTCGGCTCCTAGGGGTTTCCCATGATTTCTTCTTCGCTCATCTCTTTTTGCTTTCTGTGTTTATACATCACTCTGTATTTAATCATTAGTTATTATTAAACTGTGGCTTTTTCTCCCATAGTTTACCTTTCATCCTGTCTTCCTCTGCTCTCTTCTTGTTCCCCTTACCACGAACTGGTTGCGGCTAATGGCTGCACCTCCCTGAGCCCGAGTCTCCTGCAGGTTTGTTCCTGTTAAAAGGAAGTTTTTCTTTCCCACTGTTGCCAAGTGCTTGCTTATAGGGGGTCATGTGATGGTTGTGGTTTCTTTCAGTTATTGTAGGAACTTTACAATATAAAGTGCTTTGAATTGATGCTGTATAAATAAAACTTAATAAAAATGCTAAATCAAAAAAAAAGGTGGAAAAGACAGTTGAATTCTTGTAAGAACTGAAGTAGAATTTTAATTCATTATTGTAATTTAATCTACAGTCCGTAGCTATTGTTCTTGTACATTTTCCTATGATTCATGATACATTTATGCTATTACATTGCTATTTTTGTTGTTATAATATAATTAACAGCTTGTAAATTCAAATGTTACCACAATACTTAATAAATGCACATACATTGAGCGTGTACACATGTGAATAGTTATGCAGAGGGCCTCTCATGTAAATGTACACACACAGCTCCATGTACATGCACATATGGAACCCTCTCATCGCTGCATTCTAAATGACCGAGCCAATCAAATTTGCCTAATGAGACATCTGGCATTCTGCCTGCATGTGGATGGCAAGCCCAGAAACAGCTGGGCCTTTACACACACACACACACACACACACACACACACACACACACACACACACACACACACAACAACATTTGTTTGTGATTTCCAGGTGAAAGAAAAGGGACATAGAGAGATGCTCAGGGAGAAGATCCAGCTGTGGAGCCATCACACAGGATCTACATGCACGCATTTGGCATCAGCTTTGTCACAGACAT